AAAAAAAACCCCCCCTTTTTTTTTTTTGCTTTACATTCTTCTTTACTTTTTTTTTTTTCAATAATTCCTTTTTCCAAGCTTTTTTTTTTTTTTTTTTTTTTTTTAAATGTCCTTGCCTCTTTTAACTTTGGACGGCTTTTTCTCAAAATGCATTTGCTTTTATGCACAAACTTATATACAACACATACTTGCTTTGCAAATAAACTCATAATTCTAAACTTGCACCATAAACAATAAAACAAGCTCGAAAACTAAATTGCTTCACAAAACTAAAGGTAGAAAGTGAAACCAAGGCTTCAAGGCTTGTATTGTGGCTAGAGAAAAGAAGGTATATGGCTCAAAAGGGCTAGCAAGAGGGGCAAAAATAAACTAAACTCAAAAATAGAAAATCTATCCTATAAAAAGAGAAATTCCTTTGTCATCCCCTAAAGTGGCACGGTCGCGATCTTGGGAGCTAAAAGTCAAGTTCTAGATACGAGAATGCAATAGCCAAGGATCCAAATATGCCGCTCAACAAAGTATGATGAAGGCTTGAACAATTTACCTCACTAGGGATAGCAATAACTAACTCTTGATTTCATATCCACCATAGAGAGCAACTCCATCTTACCACAAGCAAGTGAACTAGAGCTTCATGGTCCCAAAGTTCTTAGCCAACTACCTTAGCATACCATATCCTAGAGTCAACCTAACACATTCTCAAACCGTGCACACCTTTATAATTTAGGAATAAAGACATTCAAGAATACAAGTCCAAGCGTATTATGTCAAAAGTAAGAACAAAACAAAACACATTGCAAATTTGCCTTGATAGAAACAAAATCTTTTTGGAATTTTCAAAATAAAGAAAATGGAAATGCATATACAAATGTGCATGGCATATATGAATCAAAATTCCACCAAACATGATAGAATACCCTCCCCCAAGCTTGAATGAGGCAACATGCTCAAACTTTAAACCAAAGAATCCATGGGAGGAGAAAAGAAAGAAAGTCATCCAACCAACCAACATATGTCTAACAAGTCACAAATCATTAGAGGAAGAGCAAGGAAGGATATTACCGGATATTAGGTGGGTATAGTACCCGCAAATGACCCAATTAAACCTTCTTGAAGCCGACTACCTCTAAAATTGAATCTTGTTTTCCATGTGCTAGCAAAAGTGGAGTCAAACTTCCTTGATTCTTGATCCAAACCAATGCATAAGAGTATATTAAGTTATGTACCTAGCACCAAGCACACAAACATTTCCATGAGGCCAAAAACTATTCTAAAAAGAAAAGAAAATGAAAGCAATAAAACACGGGTTACTTCCCGAGAAAGGCTTGCTTAAGGTCCAAGCTTGACCGCTCTAGTAAATAATATTGCAACGATCGCAAGAGCTTGCCAAATGCACTACTACACATCTCATAAGATAACAAGTAAGCAAATGATATAAGAAGGGCATGCACCCAGATTAGTGCACGCAAAAGAAGGTGAAGAGGGAGTTTCCAAGAAGAAGAAGAATCAAAAGAAAATTCAAGAAAATAAGAAGAATAGAAAGGCAAACTCTTTTCACAAAAATCTTTTTGGGTGGCAAAATCACCCTTTTCCTCAATTGAAGACGAATGAGGGGCATAAAAATCTTCATAGGCAAGGGGGTCCCCAATAGGCTCATTAACAAAGGAAGGAAGGGATATAGGAGTGTAGGGGATATGGTTGAAATTCCTTGAAAAAGGGACATGAGAGAAGGGGATAGGAGCAATGGTCTTACAAATGGTCTCCTCTTCACCACCATTCCTCAAATCACCAATTTGAGCATGAAAATCAATCATAGAATCCTCAAAAGAAGAACACTCATGATCATGATCTCCCTCAAACATCCAACTTCCAAGAGGAACTACATAATCCCCTTCACTACAATCATGAACAACAACTCCCTTAACTTCCTTAAAGCCTAAAATCTCAAAGCCATGCATGAATGGATGCAAATTCATTTCAAAATGGTCTCTCTCCCATGAAGCATTCTTAATGAACACACTCAAAAGGCTATGGGTTTTCATTTGACACTCAATAAACACATTAGACATAACCTTAAATGAATCCAAATACTCATGGATAAAAGGATCACAATCATGCACTTGAGACTCATCAAGATGGGAAAAAGGGTTAGGATTTTCAAAATCAACACTCTCTTCATTCTCAACTCCTTCACCATCACTCATATGCTCACCAATGGGATCCTCACACTCTCTTGGTTGCTCAAAATCATCATCATCATCCTCAACACACACATTAAATTGGGATTTTTCACAAACAAGCATCAAGGGTGACAATTGGCTTTCTAACTCTTCTTTTCTTCTCCTTCCCTCCTCAAGACGCTCCTCATTCTTTTTCATTATCTCTAATTGACCTCTCATAGAATTAAGAATCATTTCCTTACTAGGCCCAAGCTCATTATCAAGCTCAATGCACCTAATTTGAGATTCAAAAGTAGCAATAAGGGATTCAAAAGGTGTTGAAGGTTGAGGCTCAACAAGAGAAGAAGTACAACCAAGATTGGAAAAATCAACATTAAGATCATGAGCATATACATCACATTGGGGAGTGGGGGCACAATCAAACACATGAGATTCATCATTAAGGGAACGAAGCACATCACAAGAAGGCATGGTAAATAATGAAGAATATTGAAACACACCATTAGCATCAACTTGAGCATGTACCTCATCATCATGAACAAAAGAGGAAATAGAGTTGAAATCATGTGTTTTAGGTTCACTTAATGGATCATGTAACAAATCATGGGAATTCATGTTAATATTAGAAGTATCAACACATTGCATATCAATATTAGAAACATGATTACCCTTATTGTAAACATCCCTAGCAAACCATACATAAAAATCCCAAGCATCATCGGTTGATAATGCTTTAAATTCACCATTATACATGCTTTCAACAATATCCCTAGTTTGCTTATTCAAACCAAAATAACAAATCTCAGAAGCCTCCCAAAGTCTATAACAATTACGATCTACAAGTCCCTCAAGTCTATTGAAATAATCACAAAAAGGCTCATTATCATATTGAGGAAATGAGAAACATGCCATTTTTTAATTTTTTTTTAACAAAAACAATCAAACAAACAAAAAATAAATAAACAAATAAAAAAAAGTATACACAAAGACCTAGACTCAAGCAATCAAAAACAATCAAGCATTGACATCGTTCCCCGGCAACGGCGCCATTTTGATGGGCGTTAGAACGGTCGCACATTCCACACTCAATCAAATAAATTTATAAATCCTAAAACTAACCCCTAAACAAGTCTAGTGGTAAGTTCGGAGTCGAACCACAAGGAACGGTAATGCTAGATTGTTCTTAATCTAATGCCTAAGCTATGCCGAAGTCGATTTACGGATAAAGGACACTACAACTACACTAAAACACATATAAAGAACAAGGTATGATAAAGTCTACTAGGGGAAAAGATCCACTTAGAACAATTAATAAGCTAATGAGAATCCATTTGATAATCAATCATGCAAAGAAAGAATTATAATGAGAATTAACTACACTCAAAAGTAATCTCTCAAATTCCTAGCCTAGATCCCTCATTGACTAGGTGCATAGAAGAAAATTACCAAAATGCAATCAAATATATCAATTCTAATTCACAATCCCTTGTCAAACTAAAACCAATATGCAATTAAGTGTGCTATCATGGGAGATCAATCCAATCTAAAACAAACAACATGCCAACATCAATTCAATCAATTTAATCACACAATTATCATCAAATTTATCTCAAATAACTCAAATAATCATTACAAAGCCTCACTCAACACCTAGTAGAAGGGAAACTACTCAAGCATAATGAAAGCAACTAAATAAAGCAATAAGAGAAGAGAAAGTAAGAAATGCTCATTGATATAAGGTGGAGATCTTCAAATTCCTCATTTGATTATCCAAAATCCATGAAAACCATTGTGCTCCTCACTTTCTCTCTCTAAAATTTTGAGAGTTTCTCTCTCTAAAACCTAAAACTAACCTAAAATCTATTCTAAACTGAAAAAAAATCTCTTTCTTTAATGAGCAAAAAAAATCTATTTATACCCCTTACAAAATTGCTTAGGAAGCTCCGTAAAAAATCAGCTGAAACGGGAAAAGGTCCGACCGAACTCTGTGTAGGTTCGGTCGGACTCAGGGTAGGTTCGGCCGAACTCAGGGTAGGTTTGGTCGAACCTCCCTGATCCTTGTTTGGTCGAACTTTCCTGGTTCGACCCCTCCTGTAAACATGCTGAAAACTTGGTTGAAACTGCCTTGGAGGTTCGGTCGAACTTTTCAAAAGTTTGACCACACCTTGGTTCGACCGAACCTCGGCCACACCTCCTCTTGAACTTCCTCTTCTTGCTTCCTCTCCTTCCCTTTTGCTCCTCTTGTCTTTGTCCATGCCTCCATACTTGGCCAAGGGGCCTCCTACCGTGCTTAGGACCGCCATGGAACCTGCAAAAGATAGCAAAGATCACGAGAGCATGGGGATGATAAAATTATGCATAAAGATTATCAAAACAAGCGCAAATAAGCATACTTTTCATCCATAAAAAAAGGAAGCCATAAGAGGAGAAAAGAGGTAGAAAAACCTAAGAAAAACAGGAGAAAAGAGACCAATACACTACCCCTAAGGGTAACATAAATGTCACTCATCAGAACGCTTTTTATTATATAAGTATAGATTATATAAGTATAGATTAAGCCCAGTGACTAATGAGAATTTTATTTACAGAGATGGACCTTAATAAGTACTCCAAAAACCTAAATAAAGAACATGAAAGTTATTCAAATTTGAAATGACTAAAATAAGGGATAATAGTGTATCTGTTGCATTACAGTGGATTTTGTATCCTATATTCCCTCTTTGTAATGTAGTTTATTTTGATCTTGCTGGGAAGACAATGTATTTGTTAAAAGAATAAATTGTTTTCATAAAATGATGGTTTTTTTTTTGTTTGGTTCAGGACGAAGAATGGCGTAAAAAGGAAGCTGAGTGGCATAGGAAAGTGTTAGTATTGCAGAAGAAAGATGTAGAGATTAGTCAGAAATTACAGGAACTTCAGGAGGTATAGGTGTTGATTGAGTTTTGACTTCATGGTCTATTGGTTCATGCCATGAATCGAGTTTCTACTATATGCTTAATCAGAATTAGTGGTCGACTGTTTTGGATACTGGAATGCTGCTGTATCTATAATATATCATTTGATTCATTTCAATGGCTGTAAATAGGCTGATACAAAGAAGTCCAGAAATTATTTCTAGCTCTAATAATTCGTGCTTAAAAGTGCAATAAACTGTTTTTCCATGGAGAAAGCTCTCTTTTTTCTGCATTACTCATATGAATATTTTTCCTTGGCTGATGTGTGTTTAATTTAATTGGGACCCTCATATCAATCTAATATATGTACTTCCAGAGGGAGGATATTCTTCAACGTACAGTGGCTGAGTTAGGAAATAAATCATTGGTTTTGGATGCTGCTACTGATGGGTTTCAACTGCAATCATCTACAGGTAATCATACTTTGCAGTGATGAGTTTTCTTTTCTGAGCCATCAGTTGGTAGTTTTATGTGCTGCAGAAGTAATTTTTTTTACTGAGTAATGCTTTATGTACAATAAGTTCCTAATTTTCTTATTATTAATTGTGGTGTTCTTCAGGTGTCAACGTTGGATTAACTCAAAGTCAAGTATCTTCTTATACATTTAAATTACAGGTTTGCTGCAATACATTTACCAATAAAGTAGTTTTTCTGTCTATGTTGTTTTGCAATATCAAGGCATTGATCCCATGTAAAAGAAGACAAGGTGCATCTACAATATTCTATGTCTAGATCTAACTCTTCCTTTGTAATGAGATATAAGGTGCATTGTCAAAGTATCGGGAGACATTCCTTGGAGAAGTCAGATCTATTTTGTGATATAAGAAGTGTTTATTCTCTTTATAGCACCTGAAATTTAGTGTTGTCTGCAGTAATCAGTTGTTACTAGTAACATCTTGCAGCTTTTGCTGGTGCTCACACAAAAATGTCATCCAACCAATATGCTGATTCAGTGGCTATTGTTCTTGCTACTTTGCTTGTATGCAGTGTTTGCTTACTTTTAATGGAATTTAGGAATGGTGTTTTGAATCAATACTTAATTACTTATGGTATACTATTCTGTCATGTACATGTCATATTGAAAGTTTTCTTATCAGGACTTCAGGCTGGCCTTAGGATTCAAATTTGTGATTTAGTTTGTCCTCGAGAATGACTGAAATTTTGTTTGTCCTTAACAATAGACTTGTGATCACATCATGCCACTTTGTTGTAAGCAATGGTTCATTTATTTTCTAGTAGGTGCTATTTTTGTCATGTTCGTTTGTTAACTGCTGGATAGCATGCTCTTACAATTTTCTTTTAAATAATTTTTTTAACAAGATGCTATTTTTACATTAGAAAGAACCTTTTTCCGCCTTTTGTGTTGTATCATTCCAATAAGCTTATTCGATAGAATCTGGTATGGGACACTGAAGACTTTGGTCAACTATAGTGGGATCAAATTTACTAGTCAGAATACTGATATGAACATTGGGGATTGCATATAACCTATACCTGTCCATTCTGTTTTTTTTAGGAGTGGGATCAAGACTGGATTTATTTGAAGTGCTCCTGCCTTAAAATATTGAGTTTAAATGAGATGACACATAAGATCAGGTGATTTATTTGAAGTGCTCCTGCCTTAAAAAATTGACTTTAATGAGATATATAACACTAGTTCTTTTTAAAATCTATTAACATTGTTTGCATAAGTTTTAGCATGGAAGGAGAAGTAAGGGGAAAGGAGAGGTGGGGGAAATTTAGTGAGAGGGAGGTTTTGGGATAAAAGGAGTTGAAGGATTGGGAGGAGAGGGAGAGGAGGGATTTTTTCTTCCCTGTTTTTCTTTAATATAACCATAAACCATAACAGTAATATATTGTGCCCTTTTGCACTGCAAAATTGTGCAATAGCTATTTAGCTATGTTGCTCAATTATTTATCAGCACATTTTAATGTTTGCAGCAAGAGTGGCCAGTAGATGGAGCACGACACTTTGATGTGGATGATACTGGTCAGATTTTGATTATTGCACGAAGACCGAATAGGATTGGTGATCCCCATATTCTCACTAAAGTATGTTTTTGCCCTTCTTTCTTGCAATTTGCTTGAGGTGAATAAAGTTTTGCCAAACTAACTTTACTCTTTTGTTCTGCAGATGAGTTTAGTTTCTCCTCGTGAGCAAGATAACATTCTACTTCCTTCATCGGTCAACGCAGTCAGAGACTTGCGTGTATCTTCATTTGCTAGACTTGCACTATTGGCTTCAAAGAAACTGTCTGTTTTAAGGTGGGGATGAACTTATAGTGCAAAATTTTTTCCCAATTGACTATACTCTGGAAACATGCTATTTTCTTGTTAGAGCATGTTGACCTTTTTATAAATGGAAAATGGTTTGTTGCATGAAAGACGTAAATTTTGTTATTCTTAGTATGTAGCAATTCTGAAAAGATAGAGTAATGGAAGTCCCTCTCTCACTAATGTCTTATTAATTTCTTGTTTTTTATCCCCTTCAGCATGGAAAGCAACAATGTTGTCCTCAACTATGATTTACCGGTACACTTTCTTTACTTTATATGTTTTAATGATCACGTGAACACCTTCTTATTTTCCTCATCTCTCACAGTCACTGTAGTATATGGTGGTCAGTCAAACTTGGGTTTTTGTGGCCATAGTAGAATTACAAGATCATTTTCTATATTGCCCTCCCCCTAGGATTCTATTACACCTATGCTTTTATAAATTGTATTTTTGGACTTTAATTTAAGTATAACCTATATTTTGCTTCTTCATCTATGAATTATTCACATTGTTAAATAGTTATGTCCCTATATTAAAATGACTTTCATGGAATATTGGAAAGGGATTCAATCCTAATCTTCCAGCGTAATTGTCATGTCTTGGCTAGTTACTCTAGATTCTAGATCATTTTGATTTTTAGACTGGAAATTTTGGATCATTCTAGTGATTGTTAATTTGTTTTTTTCTGGTTTTGAGCATGTAATGGTTCCTGTGGATTGTATCAATAAAAGCTTGAACAAGGTATTAAACTTAAGGGATGGTAGAAAATGAATTCTCTGTTTTACCTTCTATGTTTCTGAATGGACTGAAATCTGAATTTTTTTAATTTTAATTATTATATTTTTTTTTGGTAATTGAAGGTTCTTAAAAAATGGGTCCAAATATTTAATGTTGGTCTCTTAAAACTGCTCGTTTTGTCTACGCACTAAAATATAAAACAATCATTTTGGTGACATGAAAACTATTTCATTACTAGAAGTACCGTTAGAAAGAATAAACTTTATAAAGCTGCTGTCATTGTTGGCTTGTTGCCTTTTTATTGATAATATGTCAATAATAAGACTGTCAAAACAAGAGAGCAGAATAATTTAAAATCCAATAGCTGTCTTTTTCTTTGAATCTTAAGAGAGTAAGTCAGGATTTAAGCATGTACTAGATTAGTTTAGATGCTATCTATTTCCATAGTTGTCAACTGCAAGGTAGGGGTGTGGCTAGAATGTTAGATTTTTAATTTGTTTCTCTTTTATCACAGTAGTCAAATTATTCATTTGTTTTTCTTTTAAAAAGTTGGCCTAAGATTAATGGACATATGTTGCAGTTCCTTCCCCGTGGTCCACATTTTTACGGTCCTAAATTATGGTGTTCCTTGAACATATATAGGGGGACTTTTCTTTTGTATAAGATTGGCTGCCATCTCTTATAATTTAAGATGCTGGTCTTTTATGCATCTCTAGTTAGTGTCTTCACTGTCTTGCACTCTTGCACGGGGTCATAGTCAATTGATTATTGGTAATGATTGGCAATTGTGTTTATTATTTTTGTTTCAATATATTTTCTTGCTTTCTTTATTAATTTATTTATTTATTCTGGCGCTGATATATATATTCTTGATTGATTTTTTAGGCTGCTGCTTGGTCTTGCTCATGGGATAGTAACAGTTCACATTATGTTTATGCTGGATTACAGGTTTTACCTCTTACCAATGATTGTTCATTTTTATACTCATACTTTTATTGTTTCTGTGCCATTCAATGCCTATATGCTCCTTGCTAGAGCGGTGCTCTTTCCTCCTTTGTTGCCTTGTTGGCTGTCTTTCATGCTTTTTTTTTTTCTAGGAAAGGTGGATTGATGACGATGAACAAAGGCTGTGATTTTTTTTAAAGATAAATGAACTATGTTTCTTTGCTTTAGCTTATGTAATCTCAGGGCTTATTTTTTTTTATCAAGAATTTATGGACTTTGGAATGCTATTTCTTCACTTTCCCTTCACTCACTTAGAAGTTGTCCCCCCTATCACCCCCCCCCCCCCCCAAAAAAAAAAAAAAAAAAAATCTATCTCATTCTATCTACAAATCTTTTATTTGAGCTAACATGTTTTCTGTTTTTTATTTGTATGCTGTTCTTATTGAGCACAGTTTCCTCCAGTTTCAAAATCATCCTCTAGGAATCAAACTCTTGAGAATTATGCATGCAATTAATCAATAAACAGTGTAAACCCAGGAAGGAAAGCATTAAACTATTAAAGGGAATAGTATAAATATTGTTTATCAAGTAGAACTAGCCAAATTTCTCTAAAGCAACACCAGACCCAGTTTAATCTAATACCAATAATATCTAGCTCAAAATTTGATTTGTAAAATTTGTACCGTGAATGGATATCAATCCAACTGTAAATCCTCATTTGATCTGTAATATGAACCATATCCACTTCAGCATCCTTGCCAAACATTATATTATGTCTTTCTTATTTTATTTGTTTATTATTTTTGTGTATTAATTTGTGCAGAATGGCATGCTTTTAGTGTTCGATTTGAGACAAACTGGAAAGCCTATGGAATCTAGGAATGGGCTTACCTGCAAGCCCATTCATTCCATATGCTCTCTATTAGAGGATGCTCCAGATTACTTAGGAGCTAAGAAACTCCTTACTGGTTCTTCGATTGGCTTGTGTGAGTGGAGTATTGGTGGTGAATATAAAGAGTATGTTTTCTTGTTCTGCTTAGCTGTTGAGGCTCTAGCCATACTTGTTTGTCATACTTCGATTATTTTTATTAAATTCCCATCAATCCATCCAAATTGTGAATCATTACATATTTAAATACTGTCTTGTTTCTTAGAAAGAAATGGATTTAAAGGATTTTAATTGTGAAACTTATTTTATACTTTGATCATATTGGCAGATTTATTAAAATTTAGTTTCCTTGACAAATAAAAGTACCTAAGAAATAATTATTTTGTGTGAATTCTGAATTCCATGAGTAAGCAATTCTCTCTATTCTTGTAGTTGTTCAGTGGATCAGAGTGATCTACCTTCTTGCCGCTAATTATGTGGTTTTCATGACTATTTGTCCAAGGCCTATTGATGTAAAACCTCTTTAAACATATGGTTTCAAAACTTCCTGTGGCAAAGTAGAGTGCATATGATTGTAAATCTATTGCTTATGGTTACTTAGAAATAGGCAATTAGTCTATGAACCTATGATTTTAAATTCTTGTTCACCACTTTATAAATACAACAGATGATATTTTACATATTGTCATTTCTTGCCAGGCTCTTGTTTTGGGCATATCCTAAATGCATTTATCTGATGTACAAGTGTGGTTGGTGAGATCATATATACTGTTTTTCTGTGACCTTGATTAATATTAATGTAAGAATATGTCTATGTGTATTGGTGTGTTGTTGAAGTGCACACAAAATTAAACCTTATTCACCTTAACAAATAGCTAGGGCAAGTAAGAGTCGATCCCACGAGGAAAGCAAGTCTAAAGTAACAAGTAACCAGGTCTAAGTTCCAAAAAAGTAACACGATTTGGGGGGGGGGGGTTGATATGAGAAAGCTAATCTAAAACAACTAAAGAAATAATATATAAAAGGAATTATAATTAAAGAACAAACAATCAATGGAGAAAACCGGCCATGGAACTTCGTAAAATCATTGACACATTAACTAATATTCAAGGAACAACTTGACTTATGGAACAAGTTCCCTTATTAATAGTTAGTTCCAGTACGACCTTCCCTAACCCTAACCAACAAATAACCCCCATATTACGAGCAAGGAATTTAACCTGATGATAGCATTAAGAACTAGGAAAACATCAAGCCTAGACAACCACAACACTTTGGAACTTGCGTGATTAAGCCTCGATCCAGGATTACTTTTCAATTAATAGAGTGGAACGTCCTCCTCTACAATTGGTTGCTACTTCATTAACATTCCCAAGAAATTACGGACTTAGTAGTATTAATTAGCAATAGAAATCAAACCCAAACAAATAGTTGCACACTTACTTATAAGAATCATTATTCATGTTAACAAAACAGTAATTCAAGAATATTCCAAAACATTAATTATTAATCATTAAAACCAAACTAACTTGTCTCAATTATTGATTACATGTCCTCCTCTAACTACTACCGAGCATAAAGAACTACCCACTCATGTTACAAAGCAAAGATTTAAGGTTCTTAGAGGAAAACATACCGAATTCCTCTAGGTGGTTTCTTCTAAACGGGAGCACAAGTGAGAGATGAATGAAGAATTGATGATGAATAGACGAATAACTATGGGGTTTTATAGAATTATGATAGAATTATTCCCCAAGTAAAGTCCCTAAAAATATGAAAGATGAATCTAAGATAAGGGAAGTAGTTAGATAGAATCTATGAAATTCTATATATTGCCAAATCTTTTCCTAAATGATAGGATCTTCTTCTTATCAAATATATCTTCCTTCCAGCTATAAACTATGTTACATTGACACGGGTACGGATATCCGATATTGGTACGGATCTTAGTGTCCGATACGTCATTTTTAAAAATTTAGGACACGTGGACACCGTCTTAACTTTGGACTCAGGTACGGATATGACAATAAATTCTTTAAGGAAAAAAAACATCAATAAGAAAAACATAAAAAATTATTTGAGGCTTTTGAGTCAATATTTATTCAATATAAATTTTGATACATACAAAGTACTATCTTTTAAGGAAGTTTTGTGTAGAACTTCTAAAGATAGGGTCATTTGTGAACAACTACCCATTTTTTTTATTTGTTTAGAACTACCCATAAGTTTGAAAACATTTTGGTAGCACTACCCATTAACATTTTTCGTCCAATTAAGACGTTATCGAAGGTCACTTTTTCACTTTTTCCACCTAATGAACTCTCCCAATTTGTATAAAGGTTTTAATTTACCTTAATTAACCTAATTAAGGTTTTAATTATAATTTATTTTAGGGTTCATGAGTGTAGTATTATTTGGGGATTTTAATTTCTAAGGTTTGGGGGTTTAATTGAATTGGGGTTTTTGCTTATTTTAGCATTAATTGACCATTGTAATTGAAAAAAAGTAAAAAAAATTGGGCCAAAATTACGTTTTAATGGGACGAAAAACGTTAGTGAATAGTGCTACCCAAACTTTTCCAAACTAGCGATTAGTTCTAAACAAATTAAAAAAAAAAAGGGTAGTTGTTCACAAATGACCCTATCTTTAGGGTAGTTCTACACAAAATTCCCATCTTTTAAATAACTAAGAAAGATTTGTTATTAAAAAAATGAGTACCACAGCTTTTCTGTACCAATTTCTTGGGAAACCCCAAAGCCTTTTTTAAAAAATAAATGTACATCTCTTTCTTGGGAAATCAGAAAGCCTTTTTAAATAAAGTTAATCCTCAAAAAAAAAAAAAATAAAGGTAAAGAAATACTTAAAACCCTTCATCTTTCTTTAGTGGCTGCTTTCTTCGTTCTTCCCTCTCTGTTCTCTCTCTTGAAGCTTCTTTTCTTCAATGGCTACTGTGAATAGCCGTACCCGAGAGCTAGATGGCGAGTCCGGAACGGATTTCATACCCGGATTCGTGGGTATGACGGAAAAATGCCGTGTCCGAGTAACAGAGGCTGTAAATACTCAAGAATTATTTTCCAAGTAAACAAATATCACGTTGCAATGAATCTGGACACTTCTTGGACTGCCACTAAGTTCCTTTGCGACTGCGTCAGTCTTCCAGTTCCTCCGATGGAATTCAACGTCTTTTCATTTGCATTTGACATTGGCTCTTTTATTCGGTTCATCTTTTTACCATCCAAAATGGCTCAATAACCTATCAAAACACACAATGAGGAAATAAATCACAAAATACCAAAAACATAGATAAAAGCACTAAAATGCTAAAGGAACTAACCCAAAATCTCAGGAACATGACTGTAAAATAGTGTCATAAATGGCACTCATCAAAAAGCTCAATAAATGTCCTTTTCTAAATACTAAAAGTAATAAATCACTGCATTATGTTAAGCAAAGAAATTTTAGAGCTAAAGTATGCTTTTAAAAGAAATTTATAATCCTATGCCTGTTGTCTTCCTTGTCATCAAATTTGTGTGGTTGAATTTGTAATTTTGTATTATCAATGATGATACTGTAACTGATTAACTACTTAACAGGGAGAGAGAGAGAGAGTATGGGAATAGGGTTGTATATTGTGTTGATTTTAAGATATTTCTAAGGGGAATAGGGCTGTATATTGTATTGATTTTAAGATATTTCTTAGAACGAATATGATTACACCTGCAATTTAAGACTTATTTAGTTATCTCCTGAACAAATGATGATTTACTTTTTTTCAATGAATTTCTCTCTCTAACATCTGCTCTATTTAACCCTACAACCACCGGTTCACCACCCCCAATTTCTCTTGCCTCCCTTGTCGCCAATCTTCTCTCACCTCCCTCTTCTTCGGTTGTCGTTCTCTTTCCTTTTTCTCCTTCCTGGTGCCTGCAACCTCCCTCGAGGCCAACCCAACAATTGCTCCTCTTCTCCCTTGCCGCCGCCAATTATTACTCATTCTCTTCCCTCGGCGTTCTGTCTCTTTCCTCACTGCCAACAATTCCTTGTTTGACTCGTCCATGTCGAAGATGATGGGTGGGATGGAGATCTATTAGCCAATATGTTGTAATTTGTATGAGTCGACGATTTCGGTGAGTCGTGGTTGACTAAGCAATAGGAGAAAGAGGCGACCTTTATTTGAGATGGTAACCAATCAACGGGGCTCATGAAAACCATAGTTCATTACTTAGTTTGTGGGAGAAAGTGATGAGCAGTAGACAAATTTGCAGTGGCGGTGGTGGACTAAACAAAGGTGGGGTGGGGTGGGGTTGCTGGTTGGAGATGAAGGTAGAAAAGGGCAAGAATAGGATTAGGTGGGTTAGGGCATTTTCTATCTGACCTCTCCTTAATATGCGCGCAAAAATGAAGTGTGTCAATTAATATGAATTGGAGAAAGTATATATTTTTCAACATGGTTAGTCAACAAGTACATGTTTAAATTCCTGGCATTTATTTATAGGAAACTTAGAACTCAGTTTGTGTAACTCTTGATGTAATTGTGATAACTGTTCCCTTGAATCAAACACCTTTTGAATTTCATTTTTTTTGAACATCATCTATCTACAACAGGAGTTTGAATTATGGTAGAGCTGCATCGACTAGCCGCTTTGTCACACTAGTTTGTATTTGGTTTGTGTAGCTCCTTGAACGGGATGCATTCTTTTCTTGAAACCATGTGATTATGTGATATGCAATAATGAATATGACAAGGCATGAAATATTGATGGTCTGAAGCTCATTATATCTTTCCAAGTGAGCTTTGCTACCATTCATTGGCCTTTAAGGGCTCTGTTTGAGTGATAACAATATTATAGATGCATAGTGGGGTTCAGTATAATTACTGTAATAGGATGCACTTGGGAAAAAATTAGTTGAAAAATCATGATCTTTGAAAGAAAAATGGTGCAGTTTAGAGGCCTTTAGAAAATGTAGAATTGGTTATATTTGGATGAGAATTGATAAAATAAAAATAAAAAAATCTTGATGATTTTCCTGGTATCATTTTTCGCTGTACCAGTACACTTCCATCAGTAAGATGGGTCACACTAGATTTATGTATGCAATCAATCATACAAAGACTGAAAATACATGAGCCAACGACTTATATAAGCCTAGCCAGATTTACAAATGTATGTTTTATGTGTGCATCTTAAATTATTTATTACATGAAGTATTTGAAAAAAATTATATCATTACACCAACTTTTTCCACCGACATCATCTCCATTCCCGATGACTCATAATTTAGGCCTAGATGACTCTTAGATATAACCATTGATCTGTCAAACAATTGCCTCTACCTAACTAAGGTGCCATTTGCCATTATTGTGAATTTGTTAGTTACCTTTTTCTTTTCTTTCTTTCTTTGTTTTAATTTTTATAAATTTTTTTGAGATTGAACTCTAATTAGAAAATTTATTGATATAAACAAAGTCTAAGCGGTTTTGTGAATGTGGAAGTGGAAACATTGAAACTACTTAATGTGGTCTTGTACTATCTGCTAACTAACTATTTCTCCTTATTACTCTCATTCGCCTTTACTATATGCTAAGTATTTTTAGCTATACTGAAGTCTACTTCCATTTCCCATGTATACCAGGGCTAAGTTAGATTTGCATGCTTTTGTAATCTACCTGGCATAAATCATGAATGTATTTTAAAATTCATGCATCTAAAGTATTTTGTACACTAATTGTTTTAGCCTCATTTCTAAGACTCTAAGAGGAGCCCATTCTAGGTTAGGCTCCAAGTTCAACCTAAATACATTTGTAAAATGGCTCAGCTTTTGGTACTTTCATGTCCAGGGCATGTACTGCAATGTTAACGTCTCGCTGTACTTGTTGACAGACAACTTTCAACCCTTTAGTCAATGCAATCGCTGATTATGAACTGTGGACCGGTTTGAGTTTCTGACTTTTGTCTTATCCCATTTGCTGAGTTACATGAAATATCTCATATCAATGTTCTTACAATGCATCCTCTATGACTGTTGGAAGGAGTTAGGAAGGATATGAAGTTTTTGGATTTGCACGAGGATGAGGCATTGGATCATAAGGGAGGGAGGAGGAGGATCTTTGTCGATGATTACACGAAATAATCAAATTTGGTTCATGTAGCTGACCCCACTTATAGGATTAAGGCTTTGATTGATTAATTCCTCTGTAGATTGTAATAATGGGTTGTGAATTATATTGTGATAAACAATCTTGAGGATGGATTGCAATGTCATGGATCGTGAGAAATTACATTAGGCGAGTAGAATCTACAAAATATTGTCATTGTTCCTTTACAACCTTTACATAGCAATCCATTTCCATTAGTACATTTCACAATGCTTCCTAATTTCTCCTGTCTTGTATTTGCTTTATTTGTATGAAATTGTGTTGGGGCTTTGGGGAAGATGTGATAGTAATGTAGCATTGTAGCATGCATAATAGTTTTGAAGCAAACCTCATATAAGTTGGTGTTTCTGTTTGCCGAGGAATTGGTTGCTTTGATGTGTAATTTGTCCTTAAGTTTGTCTTGTCACTTTAACGCTTTGTTTGGATAGCAACGAAGGAAAGGAAGGGGAGGGTAAAAGGAGGAAGGGAAGGGAAAAGAAAGGGAGGGGGAGGTGAGCTCCATTTTCCCTCCAAATCTCTCCTATTTTGGAGGGATTATGCTTATTAAAGAGGGGGAAAATGGATCCCTCCCTCTCCTTTCCCTTCCTTCCCCCAATCCTTTACCCAAACAAGAGAATTTGTCCCCCTCCCCCTCCCCCTCCCTTTTTCTTCTTTTCTTTTCCTTCCATTTCTTTCTATCCAAACAAAGTGTAAAATTTGTTTTATACCTGTAATGATGTAATTGGGTATGTCCTTGCTCTATGTGTGAAATCAAGTGCAAGTTTTAGTTTTAATTCATATGTAGTATGTTTTATCATGTATTCGTGTGTAATGTTATTGTGTTTGGTTCTTCCCTGGGTTATGAGCTTATGACCACAACCAAGATGAATCTTGTAGATACTTATGAGTCATTAAATTGACAGTAATTATCACTATTATCAGTATTGAATGTGTGTGCCAAGACTGCCAAACTGTCTGGGTGGTTATTGTTTAAATTTTTGCCATTCCTGTTCTTTTTATCTTTTGCTGAGATCTGCCGTATATTTAGTTGCTGATATTTGTTAACTGGTATCTTGTTCTGTTTTCTTCAGGCCGTCCTTAGTTGCAGAAACAGCAAATCAAGGAGTTTGTATATCAGTTGCTCACTGCCCCAGCAGTGATAATATTGTGGCAACATTTCGACCAAAAGTGGAGATGCCTGATAATTATAGCATTTCTCAAGTCACACAAGGTCCTTCACCTACCTTGGGGCACCATCTGCATGGTTCTCATGTCTTTTTGCAGAGGGTAAATTCTAGATATCAAAGGTTTGGAACAACACTTGCGTATGTACCCAGCATTCGACTTCCAAAATCTACCATTATAGGATTGGGAGATGGCACCCCTGTGTTCGCATGTGGCAATGAAGCAACGTCAAATTTGGTCTTGCAAGAATTGCCCTCATTAAAAATTGTTCAGTCTCTCCAATCCCACGATCCTATCCGTGATGTGAAGTACACCACCTGCACAAAACCAAATCTACTTTGCTTGAGTCAAGACAGGATACAGTTCTTCTCTAGATAACTATCTTGAGAAAGGTAAGTAGGAATCCCTGATTTTTCATTGCCTAGCGCTCTTCTGCCACCATCCCATAAATAATAAACCTATTGAATTCTTATTTTACTCATAATTTGTTGCTTGACCACGTTTTTATAGCTTACTCCTCCCTTCTTAAACATGTTTAATGATACCATCTGTCATTTTGTATATTATGATATTGCAATTCTAAAAACAAATCATTTGTTTTGATAACAATTTGTTGTGTACAATTGAGGCAAATATCCGGTCTTAACTTGCAAGGTAAATTTATTGGTGATTAAAGTCTAGATATAAAAATGTGGTCAAGCTTTATGATGCCTGCTGTCATTGTGCCCCATGATGAACTTGAAGATGTGATTAGTGCAACATTAATCTTGATTTCACTAATGCAGGCATTTATTCAGAGATTCAAGTGGTATTTTGAAGCAAATTTTTTGAAGAGCAGAGGATAGTTAGGCCGGGCTTCTTAGAGCTTTAGCTTATTTATGTAGGGTTAGGTTATCATAATGTAAATTATTGCATGTACCAAAGCACCGCTGTTTTAGCAGGTATGCATAGGCCTGATTATCGGGCAAATTAGGAAATTTTGCGTAAATAGGTTGTAGATTATATATGAGAAGTTTATTACTTCGTATTATAAACTGATCAGGCAGGTGACAACAATGATCGACAAGTTTAGATATCATACTATCTGGTTGTAGCACTGCGCTTCAAGTCTTGGGTATAAGCTGCCACAAGGACATTCATAAGCTACACAACTACGAAGCACTGACTCATAAGTTGATAAAGTAATGGCGGACTTAGGTGGGTTCAAAATATAGTGCAACATAAGGGGGCATTTGCCATTTTGGTGTAACAAAGGGTAAGGGAAAGAGTTTAAGAAAGAGTTATATTACTTATGTATCACAAGATACTGAACTTTAAATTGTATCAGGTTTTGGTCCGATATTTGCGAGTTTGACCCTTTGAGAGCGAAGGGGAAGGGTAAGGGATTCTCACCCTCAAAGTGTCTCTAGTGGCGATTGAACCTTGAACCTCAAAGTGACAATCTTATCACTAGACTAAGCTTAGTTTGGTGGTAGATTACTTTCAGTAGAGTACTAAACTTTGTTAAAGAGGAAAATTAAAATTTTGACTTATTTAATGGCAAAACTTGTGAGCTGTTAAATGTTGCTTTCATTTTACAAGGGAATACTCCCTTTTTTACATGAATGGACATTTGCCCTTTTTGCAAGTTGTAGTATAAAAACCTTCTTTGTTGGTCATGACCAAAATTGTACCACGTGAATCCTGAGCCTACGGCATCGGTACCCACGACATCAAACTCCACTTTTTTCGATCCACTACCTTAAAAATCGTTTAAAAAAATTATCAAGTTTTTACGACGAATTTTGGACAATGATCGACGGGAACATTCGTACTCCGCAGATGTTGTCGGATGAATCTGTAAGTACTTTTTTTTTTTTTTTTTTTTTTTGGAAAAAGGACAATTCACCCAAAAAATCCGAATTTACCTAGGTAGATCCTCTTGAGATTTCCAGGTCCACCAAGACATATCCGAAAATTTTCGGCAGATGTCCACATCCGCATGAAATTTCCGGATCTGCCTAGGTGGATCCGGAATTGTCAGGCAGATCCACCTAGGTGGATGCAAAAGTTTTGGGCGGATGTCCTTTTTCTATTTTTTTTAATTAATCAATTATTAACGTGGTTATTAAATTAGTTTTTTTTTTATTTTTTTATTGTGGTTGTTATTATGTTTTTGATAATTTGCGTAATTAGTAATAATGTTATTATTGTTTTGTAATTTTTTTTTTTTTTGAAAGACGGAGCAGGATAAAATTAGCATAAATCAAGTTCGCTCAAAGCTAAGAAACTTTGGGGGAACAAATACATACACACACGCTCATCACTCATGCCCGTATCCCACCTAGCAGCTAAACGAGCAACTGTATTACCCGCCCGTCTAACATGGCTACAACTGAAATCAACAAAATCATTACTCAATCTAATAATATCCTCATAAAATAGAAATATGGGAGTAGCCCCCTCTTGCTTTAGTCTGACAGATCGAACCACATCCATCGCATCACATTCGAGAATCACTCTACTAAAACCCATCCTTCTTCCAACCTCCACCCCATACCTTGCTGCGGCAACTTCGGCGATCTTTGCACCCCAATTGCATTGAGTTTTCTTCGCTGCCACAAGTAAGAGCTAACCCTGATTGTCCCTTATAGCAGCACCTAGGCACGCCCTTGCAGCCCCTAGCACATAGGCATCCACATTAACTTTTACCCACGCATGAGGCTGTGGCTTCCACCCAGCCTGAGATGGTACGATAGAAGCGGGAATGCACCTACTGACCTTCGCATTATATTTCTCATACTCCCTGCAAAAATTGACAAAGCCCACATCCACACTCACACCATTAATATGAGAATAGCCATTAAAAATAAACGAGTTTCTAGTATACCACGCAGCCCAAGCAAAACTAGCAAAAATCAAAAGTTAGGGTTTGTCAATCCTCTAAACCAACCAGCAGAAAAGATCAGCAAATGACTCATGTGGTGCATCCCTCAACAGATTTGTAAAAGGACTATTCTGCTAAATAGGTTCAGAAAAGCGTGCAAAATTGACTCTCTAGCAGCTCCGCGTATGGGACAAGTTCCAGAAGGTCTGATATGTCTGGTAAACAGGACATCCATCACCCCAAGCGTACCCTTACAAGCTCTCCAGATGAAGTGTTGAAGCTTCGGAGGACCACTCATACTCCAAACGTCTTTCCAGACCTCCCGTTCATTTCCATAAAACAACTTTCAGGTACGAAGGTGACCCATTCTTCCCAACCAATAAGCAGAACGAACACTAAACATACCTGAAGCACCTCACATTTGGCAGGGGAGTTTCCAGCACTTTCTTTCCCTCCTCTTGATTTAAAGTTGCGGCCACTAATTCAGCATTCCATCCCATACGATCAAAGTCAATCAGATCACACGCGCATATTCAAGTCACTATTAGACTGCGGAGATAACACTAAATGAGCTCCATCACCCAAGGTCCAAGCGTCATCCCACAACTTAATCAAAGAGCCATTACCCACTCTCCACTTCAATCCCTCAAGCAGCAACGATTTTGCACCCCAAATGCTACGCCAAGAATAACTTGGATCAAAACCCCTCGTTGCATCACAAAAACCAGAATTTTTAAAGTATTTTGCCTTCAAAATTCGAGAGAGAAGAGAGTTGGTATCATTGCAAAGCCTCCACCCTTGCTTAGCAAGGAGAGCTTGATTAAATCACTTGAGATCTCGGAAACCCATGCCCCCCATTGATTTGGGAAGACAAAGAACCTCCCACCAATTCCAATGGATCTTCCGGCCCGAGCCATTAGACCCCCACCAAAATCGATCCAACAACGAGTAAATCTCATCAATAAGACTGTCGGGGATTTTTAAAATACTCATCATATACGTCGGGATAGCTTGAGTCACAGCCTTAATAAGAACCTCTTTCCCCGGGCGAGATAACAATTTTTCCTTCCATCCTTGCAACTTCTTCTAAATGCAATCCTTAAGGCAAGAGAAAACCGTTTTCTTAGACCTCCCAATGATTGTCGGCTATCCCAAATACTTTTCATGTCTATCAACTTCACGGACACCAAGAGTCTCAACAATCTTATGTTTTCTTTCCGAATTAACATTCTTGCTAAAAGCCACTTCGGTTTTGCTTAGATTGACTTTCTGACCGGAAGCTCTCTCATAAGTACTGATAATGTCAGCAGTTTTAGAGCATTCAAGCAAATTAGCTCTAGTAAAAAATATACTGTCATCCGCAAAGAAAAGATGTGACACCCTCGGAGCACCTCTACACACCCGAGCCCCGTGAATTAATTTGTCCGAAGCCGCCTTCAAAATTAGAGTTGAGAATCCTTCAGCACAAATTAAAAATAAATATGGAGAAATGGGATCACCCTGTCTAAGTCCATGACAGGGTAAAGTCGTATCCCCTAATCAAAAGTAAATACCTAAGTCCTCTAACTAAAGTAGATAGGGAAGTAGGGTGGAACTCCACAGGGAAACAAGTCTTTTTACTCCTAATTAATTATTATAATCTAAATTATCTAAGTAACCAATATTTTTGGGAATAAATTCTATACTACGAAGAATAAGTTTAGGGAGAAAAAAAAAAATAAGAAGGCCTAGGGTCACAGGTTCACCAATAATTAATATTCCGGGATAAAACATAATAGTTAATAATTAACATTGCACAAGTAACATGATCAACAAGCTCTCGCAATTTATTAATCAACATAGATCTAACAGGCTCTCGTAATTTACTAGATCTAAGTTCCTATTAAAAATAGCCTTTAATATTAAATTAACATCTGCTCGATTCATCAATTCAATATTGCTAAACATTCACAATCAAATTACATCTGCTCGATTCATAATCTAATTGCAAAGAATTAAAACAATTCAATAAGAAATTATCATGCAATACCAATAATCAACAATAACAAATTATCCCTTCATATTAATTATGGATCCCCATAAACCCTAGAATTAAACTACTCAGACATAATCATAACTAAACTAATCAAATAAATAAAACAAAACATAATCAAAGAAGTAAATGAAATAGCTGAAATTAAAGGAGAAGAAATTGTTACCAAAGGAAATCTGGATTAATGGAAGTAATTAAGAACAAAAGTTGAGAGAGAATTTAAGAGAGAGAAATATCCTAAGTAGAGAGAGAAAATCTAAAAAAAGAAGGTAAATCACAATTACGTACATAATTCGTACTTAAACATTCCTCAAAACAAAAATTAAAACTAATCTAATCAGGTCTGAGAAAAACACGCGCCCGATCGGGCTGATCGGGCGGCCTTTTTCCTTGCGCCTCTTCTCAGCAGCGATGCCCGATCGAGCTAAATGCTCGCACGATCGGGCGCGCCTTAGGCCATGCACCAGCACCAAAGTTGCATGTCGCGCCCGATTGTGCTAATGCTTGCCCGATCGGGCCCTTGCTTCTCTTCAAGGCTTGGACTTCGATTGGGCTTGATTCCTCGGCCCAATCTGGATTTCCTCTTCGGGTCTTGAATACTCGGTCCAAATACCTCGGTATCCCGATTACCGAGCCCTTAATCACCGACTCGATGACTCTAACCGGCCTTGGGCTTCAAAGATGGTCGTGCTCTTCTAATTTCCGTAGTCGCTCCATGAAAAACCCGAGAAAATGCTCCAAAGGCGCAATTTCCTACAAAACTCAATAAAGACTACGAAAACACTAGAAAACACCAATTAGTAATAAAAGTGGCTCGAAAGAGCCAAAAACACTACTAATTATGACCAAGGGACGAGGGTAAATTACTATATAAAATGGACATATTAGTCCACGAGTGGGGGTCAACGCACCCGAAATAGAACCATTGTACTTAAACGAGAAAAAGACACTCGTTAAGCACCTCATAATCCGATCAATCCATGCTATTCGAAAACCCATATACGTCATAATTTTTTCAATAAAAACCCATTCCACTCTATCGTATGCTTTACTCATATCCAATTTAAGGGTCACAGTTCCATCATTACCCTCCCCACCTCTCTTCATAGAGTGAAAAATCTCAAACGCAATAAGGGCATTATCAATAATTAACCTCTTCGGCACAAAAGCACTCTAATTTTCTGAAATGATTGAACTAAGCATAGGAATTAATTTATTTGCAAGAGTTTTAGAGATTATTTTGTAAAGCACATTACATAAACTAATATGCCTATATTCAAACTTTGCTTAGGATCATCACATTTCGGAATCGAAACAATACAAGTGCGATTTACCTTTGACAAATCAATTTCACCTCGCCACCAAGACTGCACAAAGTTAACCATATCATGACCGAGAGTCCCCCAAAATTTTTGGAAGAATAATGCGTGCATCCCATCCGGACCCGTAGCTTTGTTCGGATGCATTTGAAATAGTGCGTCTTTAATCTCATCTGCCTTTGGCTCCATGTCAAGAATGTCATTCATGTCATCTGTTACCTTCGGCTTAACACCCATGAGGGCCTCATCAAAATTATTCGACATAGTTGAAGCGAAAAGGCCACTAAAATAGTCTGCAATCACCTTGTTGGTCCCCTCCTTCGAAGTCTGCCACATACCTTGATCATCATAAAGACCACAAATTCTATTTTGACCTCTCCTTTGACTTGCTTTGTGATGAAAATATTTGGTATTTTTATCCCCATCACGAAGCTCATTTGCTCTGGATTGAGCATACCAATAAGATTCCTCAAGTCTACGAAGCTCATTCAATTCATTTGAGATCTCATTACACATTTGGAGTCGACGCCCATCAAGTCTCTTCCCTTCAACTTCCTTTAAACGAGTCTCTGGCTTAGCAATATTTTTTTTTGATATCCCTAAAAGTCATTGCAGCCCATGAAGATAGACCATTTGCCACTCTCTCAATTCTCTTATGAATTGGTTCGCCAACACCCACAAGCCAAGAGTCCGACACAACCTGCTTGCATTCTTCCTTTGATAACCATAGAGGCCTCAAACCTGAACATCTTGCCATCTTTTTTCTCATCTGCTTTGTCCCCGAACTTCAGTAATATTGGAGCGTAGTCAGAATGACATAATGGAAGATGTATAACTTCCGAGTATGGAAAAAGAGAGTACCACTCACAAGTAGCTAAGTATCGGTCAAGCCTTTCACAAACTACTGTCTCCATAGAAATGCCTCGTTGCCATGTATACACACTCCCCTTATACCCAAGATTACGACACTCACAATCATCGATTGCTTCTCTAAAAGCATCAATTTGTCTTTCACCTCTCACAGCCCCTCCTTCTTTCTCATGCATACCAAGAATCTCATTAAAATCCCCGAACATCAATAACGGAAGAGGAGACAAAGCAAAAATCGACCTCATGAGATCCCATGTTAAATGTTTGTTTTCCGCCTCCGGCCACCCATACACCCTAGTAAACCTCCACTTTGCTATATTTCCACTATCGAGCACCTCACCATACACATGATGAATCGAGTAACCCACAACCCTAACATTCAAATCTCTCCACCAAAATCCCAATCCCCCTGACCTTCCCATACTACTAATACAAAGGCCATTAACAAAACCACACCGATTCCTAATTAATTCAAGTCTTTGTGTAACACCCCGTATTTTCTAACCACCATTTTATGTGCATTTAAATCTATTAAACCTAATTTCTTATTTAAATCCAATTTTGAAAGTGAAATCTTTATTTAATTATTAAATTCGTTATTTTGATTTAAGGGTCATTATAAACTTTTGAAACCTTAATTATAATATTTTGATAAAGCAATTGAAATTATTATTTAAAAAGGTTTTATACTTGAATTTTAATCATTTCAATTATATTAAACATGTCTGAATTGATATTAGCTTCAAAGGGTAATTCCTTAAGCTTAAGCATCAATTCAGTATGTGTTTCTAAATTATATGTAATTTTAATATTTAACTTATCACAACTGATACGGGTCATCATGGGTGATTCCTTGACTGAAGTGCCAATTTGATAGGTACAAAATGATTCTATGATTTTTTTAAAGATGTTTTACGTTCAATCGTTTCAATATCGATGTATAAACTATTCCGTCGACTTGATTATCGAATTGATATTGTTTACAAACTATTCTTTAATTTATATTTATAAAACTCATTATAATGTCCTTTTATTAATTAGGTCATTATAAATGAATAATATTATTGGTTTCGCATATCGCCTCTTTATATTGCTTTTCTGTAAAATATGAACTTTATATATATTTTTGTTTCTTGATTTAAATTATTGTTTTCATTATTATTATTGTAATTACTATTTATATTATTATTGAGTTATCAATAATATAATCTATATTATTGTTTTTTTAAACATACTTTTAAATCGCCTCTCGTTACGTCCCTTTCCTAGTCTAGTTTCGGGCCAACTAGACTTTGTTTATTAGTCGAGTTTAGCCTTAACACTTTCATGACTAAATAGTTTAATATAGACTTGTTTATTAGCTTTCCTTATCCCATTCTTAAGCCTCAACTAATTATTCAATCAAGCCCAAAAGAGAAGCCTTGAATCCTACAAATTTTTTCCTAGACTCTAGGGTAGCTAGCTTCTCCTACACCCCCATGCTACTACGTCGTTTTATATTGAATCATTCTGCAATTTTGTTTTTTTTTCTTCATCTTTTTTCATTTTTGTTAACTTTCTATTCAAACAAATATATAATGATTTTCTTAACCTAATTTCTATTTTATTTCTCTCTTTTTTTTTACTTATTTCATTTTCTCTCTCCTGCATTTTTTATTTTTCCCCCAATTTTTCTCTCTCTTCTTCCATGGAAATTTCTAGCTCAATTGTGTTTGATCGTGACTGTGATTCTAGCTTAATTGCTTTTGATCGTGATTGTGATTCTATTTTTCCTGCTGGAGTTGGTTTAGTCGACTTGTTTTCGAAACAATGTGAGTAATTTTTCCCTCAATCATTCGATTTTGATTATGCTCTGTTTTTCGCCTGTAATAGTTCAATTTTGATTTTTGATTTCATAGTTTTGCTAATTGTATGAACTATAGTTTATATAATGCTCAATTATAATTTTTGATTTTATTGTTTAGCTAATTGTTATTGCTTATTGTATGAATTAAAATCAAAATTATGGTCGATTATAATTTTTGATTTCATTTTTATTTATGATATTTTTAATTTATAGTTTGTGGTGTTTTGTTGTGATTTTATTGTTTTTATTTGTAATGTTGTTATTCGATTGATGTTTTTTCCAGTTTTCTGCATTTTAATGATTGGCTATAGTTTTATAAAATTTGACATTCAATTAATTTCTTTAGAGTATTAAACTAATGCTCATGTATGTTAGATTATATGTACATTTACGTTTACACAGGTGTAATTACTGTAATTTATATTTATCTATGTAATCATAAATGTTCATTTATATGTTTTATTATCATTTTGATATATGTTCATTTATGTAATGATAAATGATCATTAACAGTTTACATGTGGTTATTGTACTGTAATTTATTAAAATCAATACTGTAATTTTACATTATTGCTATTATTTGTGTTCATTTGTTACATTTTAATATTGCAGTGGAAAAAAAGAATGTTATTGTATTTGAGGAAGCAGCTAGTTCTGAATTTTATGGGAAACAATTTCCTTCTGAAGATGTGGCTTATGAAATGTTTAATGAATATGCATTTAGAAAGGGCTTTGGAATTAGAATTGGAAAAACTAAGAGGAGAAGAGATGATTCATTCTCTATGAAAAGATTTGTTTGTACAAATGAGGGTTTTAAAGATGATAAGTGCAGGAATAATAGGCTTTATGAGAGACTTAACATAAGGACTGGTTGCTTAGCTTTTGTGCAATTTAGTATTGACCGTTCAGGTGTATATACATGTACAAGACATGAGATGGTCCATAATCATGAAATGATTCCTGTTGACAAGAGACATTTAATAAGGTCTCAAAGGGATATTTCTAAGGAACATATTAATTTTATTTCTACACTTAGATTGAGTGGAGTTAAAGTTTCTGATTCTTTGAGGGCTTTGAAGAAGGAGGTTGGAGGGTCTCCTAACCTTTGTTTTACAGCTCCCGATGCTTATAATGCTATTTATGCTGAAAAGAGAGCTAAATTTGAGGGAGGTGACAGCAATCAACTAATCAAATTTTTTGCTAAGAGACAAATTGATAAAGCAGATTTCTATTATGATTTTGAACAAGATGAAAATGGTGCATTGGTTAATTTCTTTTGGAGAGATGGAAGGATGATGAGAGATTATCATTACTTTGGTGATTTGTTAGTTTTTGATACTACTTATAGGACTAACAAATATGGTATGATTTGTGCTCCATTTGTGGGTATGAATCATCATGCAAATAATGTGATGTTTGGCATGGGATTTATACTTAATGAAAGAATAGAAACATTTGAGTGGTTATTTGATACTTTTCTAACTTCTATGGGAAGGAGAAGTCCTATTACTATTATGACTGATCAAGCTCAAGCAATTGCAGCTGGGATAAGAAATATTTTCCCCAAAGGTGTTCATCATAGATTATGTGTGTGGCATATTGAACAAAATTCTAAGAAACACATTGGGGCGTTGAGAGCTTTGGATGGTTTCACTGATTTATTTGGTTATTTGCTGAAGTATTGTGAAACTCCACCAGAATTTGAGCATTATTGGAAAAGGTACTTCTGCTATATACTTGTTTAGCTTCTTAAATAATTTTTACAGAAATGAACATTTAGTTTTTTATAAATGTTTATTTCTAATGATCATAAATGTTATGCTTAATGATCATGTTTCATTTACAGAATGTTGCTGAAATATGACTGTGCAAATGTTGATTGGTTGAATGATTTGTATAAAATCAAAGAGATGTGGTGTCCAGCTTTTTCAAAGAAATATTGGTCAGGAGGTGTGCTTTCATCTCAACGTAGTGAGACAACTAACAAATCAGTTTCTCAAAGGCTTAACAAGACACAAGGTCATTTATACAGAAAAAAAAATTCAAAGGATCATATTAATATTGATCATTTTAATTTTCAATATTGATCATTTTGTATAAACAAATTGATCATTTATATATCTATTAAACAATATACTTACCACCAATTGGGGTTGGTTTTCATACTTTGTTGCAATTGTTTGATGTTTTGGCAGTTTCCTGTTGTCAATTATATGCATTGTCTCATTGACATGATCAATGCATAAAAGATAGAAATGTGCATATATGGCCACTGGAAAAAAAATCTGTACATAGTACACAATATTATTATATATACACATCAATGTAAATAAACATATTATAATTCCATATTGTTCATTAATACCTGTTGATATCCAACTGCACTCTTGATTTTGAATAACCTCAATTCATTTGTTATTCTTTCTCTGAAGTATTCAATTCTAAGCTCCATTGATGATCCTTCAGGACACACTGTATTTGCATACATAATTTGCTGCAAATAATGCACAGGATCATATTAATATTCATAATGATCATCTAGTATAAGTGAATCGATCATTTTAGTACACCAATGTATACATGTGTAATTTCAATAAAGACTTACATGTGGAAATGTTGAAAAGTATAACTTGTTCTTTGACCTTTTTTGATTCAGAAGTACTGCCCCTGAATCGATCACATTGTTAACTACTAATGTATCCCCTTCAAGAGTTTTCATCTCTGCCCTATTGATCAAATTCACTCCATCATAGTATAGTAGCTCACTGCAAAATATCAATTTTTAAAGTTTTATGAGTTTACAACAAACATAATGTTAAAGTTTTGATGAAGTAAGTGATGTATACCTTTGATCTTTTCCACTATAAGCATAGTCTGTTACAAGTTTGTTCATTGTGTCTTCATCTTTGAACAAATCCTTGTACTTGACCATGTATGGAGATCGGAAAGCAAGAGGAACATTTGGGATTTCCCTTTGTGGCCTAGTTAATGTGACCATATATTAATACAAATATGAATTTTTTAATAATGAAAAAATACTTTATATAAAGAACAAATAGTAATACCTTATCTCTTTTTTCCTTTGCAATCTCAGTTTTTGCCTTCTCAGCTTCTCTTGATTTTTTTCTTTCCAAAGTCTTCTCTCTGTCACTGAATAAATATTTAATTATGAATGATCATTTAGTATATTGATAATGAACGTTATAAATCTATACACATGTAAAAACCATTTACCTTTGCCCTGTTGTGTTTTTGGAAATTTGAATCTTCTCTGCTTCAATTTCTTTTGAATCCTTTTTTGTCTCACTGAATATAAATATAGTATAAATGATTATTCAGTTTAATGAAAAATAACATGTATATGTGGAATTATCATTTACCTTTCCTTCACATTTGAAGCATATAACTGTTTCTTCTTGTCTTCTCTGAAATATTAATCATGGTTAGTAATGAAGAGTAATTAAAATAAAAAAAAACATTATTCTCATTTTTTGAACCATGAACACTTAAAATATTACTAAGACATTTAAATTAAAATACATAATTTACATATCTTAAATTGTGCATTCCTACCCT